CCCCCTGGCCAGCTTTCCCCAGTTTATGTACTGAGCATGACGTCACATGGTATGGAATATCCCTTTGGCCAGTTTGGGTCAGCTGTCCTGGCTGTGCCCCCTCCCAGCTTCTTGTGCACCCCCAGCCTCCTCAGTTGGTCGAGCATCGGAAGCTGGAAAGTCCTTGACTAATGTTAAGCACTGCTTAGCAACAACTAAAACATCAGTGTGTTATCAACATTATTCTCATCCTAAATCCAAAACACAGCACTGTACCAGCTACTAAGAAGGAAATTAACTCTATCCCTGCCGAAACCAGGACACAAATATATAGATAATTATTAAATGTAGATGGAGGAGGTTTAGAATGCCTTTCTGAAATCATTACAGTGATGCTGCTAAACCATGCAAAGGAGCACAACCTCATGTAATAACTCTGCTTCAGTTCAAACTCAGAGCAGTTGTTCTTCTTGACCTGATTATTTTGCAGGCATTTCTTGGGTGACAGAGGACTATTCATCATGATCTTTTAAGTCTAACAAACACTGAACAGTATGCATGGGGCTCTTATTTTCATAGCCTCTCCTTTATGTGGAGTTTGTTTTTTCTGTATGTTCTGTGAATCCCCTCTAAAATGTGGTATTTCTTTAATTGGTGCAGTGGGATGTACAGCACACTGAAGCTCTTCAAGCTCTGTTGTCCCTTTGGTTGCAGACAGTGGCTTATAGGATACATTCAGCACTGAAAATACTGGTAGTAAGAGAATTTTTTAGGGCAATATTTTTAGTCTGTAGGTAATTTTCCTAGGAACTTAAATGGTCTGGTAGCAAAACTGTTGCATGTATTACTACTTCTTGACTATCCAAGGTGTCAGCTGACCTTTGTAAAAAGTAAGTGTGTTTTCAGTAAAGAGGGAGACTGTCAGGTTCACATTCTCTTATAAGTTGATTTCAAGTATGCATTTATTGAACTGTAACTTGTTCTACGTTAGTACGTATGAATAAGAAAGTATGTTGTCCTTTGATCAAAAGTACATTTTGGGATCCATAGTGTTTAAAACTGTCATAACAAGTGCATAGTAACTAGAAAGACTTTAAATGTTTGCGTATATTTAGTTGAAACTTGCACAAAATTACCAAGGCCCACTCTTTTGAGGTGTATATAGAAGGTGATGTACAGTTACTGAACATGGTGTAGCCAATTATTTCAATAATATTTAGTTCCAGAAACATACATTTGATGAAGGGTTTCTGGTAGTTTTGTGCCAAGCTGAGAGTTTGTATGTGGAATAGAAGGTATTTTGTCTATGTGAAAGATAATGTGGCTTTATTTAGATAGCTATTAGAAGGAAATACAAATATTCTGCAGCCCTTACCAGCATGTGGCTGGTGCCCTTGCTTCTATAAGGTAATTTCTCTTGGGGATAAAATTACTCCATGCTGCTTTTCCAGTCCCCTTCATTTTCTGGAAGGGAGAGAGGGATCCCAGAGAATGTAGATTCTGACTGGGAGCTTAAAGAAAACAAAAAACTGCGTCTGTAAAAGTCCTACTATTTTCTGTATTTGCTGGAAATCGAAATTGGTAATTGTTTTGGGATTTCTCTAAACTCAGAAAAACAGCGTACTGAGTTGTTGTCTAAGTTATTTGGCTACAGGAAGTGTAGTCGCATGAAGTGGTAATTGCTATAATATGGCTATCTCTAATGGTTTCTGGGGAACAACCAATATCCTTGGTTGTATTGGTCTTTTCTTGGTAGTGCTTAATTATTGAAGAGGCAGTGGTTAGTTATCTTACAATGAATGCCTGAGACTCTTTTGGGAATGAAACAACTCTGCTCTTTAATGCTAATTGAAAAGCCGAATGAAGTCAATTTCTTTAAACAGTACTTACTTATCTTAAAACAAAACCAAACCCCCCCCCTTTACCTTTATAGTAGACCTGCTTTGTTATCAGAGCTGTCATATGTTCTAGACTTAAAATCAGTTTTCTAGGGGCCAGACTTTCTACATTGGATCAATTTTAATGCGTTTCTTATAATAAGAACAATAAATGTTTGGACCTAAAATTGTATTAGCCTAAATCCTGGAGTTTTTCCAGAAACTCAAAGAAAAAAATGTTTTCTGCAGTTACAGGCTGTGCTTTGTGGTGATGGCCTTCCAGGAGTCCTAGCAGCTTTCACTTGTCACTGAGCCAGAGGTGCAGGATGAAGTCCTTTTGCAGACTTAGAACCCCCATAGGAAGTTCACTAGTCTCCTCGTACGCACTAAACTATCACTGGACCTCAGGGGCAGGATTGTAGCTGCCTTAGATAAATACCTTTTTCTGTGTAAACTAACCTTAAAAAAATCTGTAATTGTATTAGAAGCAGTTTCATATAAACTGAGCTAAATAAATCTTTGCTCCCCTAATTAAAGGTATAACTGAAAATAGAATATTTTCCTTAAAGTCCACATTATTCTTAACACAACAGCATGGCATACAATGTGTGCTTATGATAAAATTGACATACGACTTCATTTTTATGAACCAGAATCACTAACTTCAGGATTCATGATTTTGTTCAGGAAGGGATGCTGTTCTTTTCCTCAAATTATATTATTATATGGAATCGTATCATTTTTAGTAGGACTACAAACTGGGTGATAACTCTCAATTTTTTTTTTTGCTAAACTTTATAGACTGACAGTTCAGAATATGTAGATTATCACTTTCCATCTACTTTGTGATTACAGTAACAAGTCTGCATATCAAGCCATGTAATCATCCCAGTAGCTAATACTGTGTTTTCTGATCCAAATAGATAGTATGTTTCTACTGTTTCAGCATTCCTATAGCAAGCAGTAAAACTTTCTTTGGAGGGGGAATGCAGTTTTTATAATGGATGCTTACTGAATGTCGGTTGTTTGACCTGTGTTATGGTTACTTTACAGTGTGTGCTAAAAAAAGATAATTCCTAGAGATAGCCTGCTGAATGAAGTTCTAGTTCTTATTAAAATCAGCCTATTTGAATCGAGATGATTAATTTATCTATACCTTGTGAACTAAATAACAGCTATTAGTTTCTTACTAATTTATCTAGCTTCAGGTGACCTCCTTGAGAGAGAGGAGACCGTGTGCCCTAAAGCTTTATTGTGTGTTTGTCATCTTATGATTGTATTACCTTTTAGACAACAGATCCTCTTAATCTCATTAAATTGTGATCCACTAGGATCAGTGTACATCAGCAGCCCTTCCTCCAGCTGATGCTTGAAATCCTTTGTGTTCCAGCTAGTCCACTGCCAGGGTTTTTTTTTTTGTTTTCAGAGGCCCTTCTTCCAACAATAGCAATATAATCTTTGGGTTTCCTGTTTCTCAGGCTTATCTTGAAGAATTCCGTCTATAGGAAAGGATATTTGACTACTATTTTTTAATTACTTTAACATGATCAGTGAAGAACTCAAATGGATTCTAAATAACAATCCCCTTCCCCAAAAATTAAAACAAACAAAAAAATCCTTTCCCATAGCAGATTCTTGAGGGCATTGTGAATTCAAATGGTGTATCCTAGAAGTAGTTCCCACAGAACTATTCTATAGAAATATCTCCAACGGTCCAAAGCTCGCTTAAAAAAAAAAAAATCCTCTTAATTGGAAATCATGTCAGGGTAAAGATTGAAAGTTTCTCCTTTCATAGACCAATTGCCTCAATAAGGTGGTGTGTTTTTTTTAAAGGAGGTTATTTTTTCATCAGCATAACCTGTAGAAGTTAATGCAAAAGAGAGGAATTATTGTCCCTTAGCAAAGACCAAACAGAATGTTCCGATACATTTTTGTGGGCCATACCTTAGTGTTGCCCATAGATGGGCCATCTGTTGCACACTTGTAAAATTTTTGTATGTTTTGCCACCATCTTACCACTGATCTGTCTTACATAAAACACACACTGCATTGCACAAAAAGATTGCCATGAGCGGTGCTCATGAAGTACTCATTATCCCCATGTCCACCCTCTGTCATAAAGAGCACAGGATTTCTGCAGACAGCTGGAGTCAACATTTCCTTCACATACTGAAACCTGTCAGGCACAGAACTGTACTGCTTGTTCCTGCTTTCTTCTTAACCTTCTTGGTTGCATCAGGGTAGCATATGGGCAGCAAATGGCATGTTGCAGGGTTGGCAGAGAAATTCAAATAAGACCAGATTGTCTGGAGTGTGCTCACTGAGAGAAGTGGCAGCAGTGGGCAACAAGAGTGGTGGAGTGGACACAAACAAGAAGAGTGTTGGCAAGGGAAGTGGAAACATGGAAACGAGTGAAGGAGAAATGACTGTGAAAGAGCCCCCTATGGCTGGCAGATGTGTGATGAAGTAAGGGGCTAGATGTAGACCATGCTCTGAATTACCATACCTTTTTTTTTATTTTCCTGTTCATTTGCTAGTATGTGTTTACTCAGTGTTCAAATGAGAAAATAGGGATCGAAAACAGAGTATTAAGTAAATTGTTCTTTTTATATGAAGATTAAGAATTGTTTTTCAGATGCAGCGTACTTCTGGCAATAATTTGTGTTGATCAGATCAAAGCCAGGTTGCCTTTGTTAACTTTCCTGCATTCAAAATCTAACAAACATTTCTTCATTTATTTTTCTGCTCCATTTCTCTCGCTGTCAAAGCATAGTGATTTTGTCTTTCTGAAAATACTGAGTAGAAACAATGGTAATACTTTCGTTTTCTGCCTTATGTCAAAAAAATCAAAGGAAAATCAAAGTTAGAGGTAAATACTACCTGTTAATACAAAACATAATACACTGTGTAATATTTGTTTCAACAGCAGTAGAGAATGAAGTCAGGTGAAAATGTAAAAAAGTTTTCTACTAGTCATTTGAAGACTTTTACTATTCTCTGTTACATTCAGTTTTCCTAAGAATAATGGATTTTATTTAAAAATAATATGGAATGTACTTTGAAAAGTTTGAACTTTGAATGCACTGCATTTTGCTTGTTACTTCCTTTTTTCTTTGAGCTTCTGTGAATTTTTTGAAGGACTGCCATTGCACTACTACAGCTGAAAAATGGTAGGCATGCCAGACATTGTCTTCTGTAACTTAGCTTTTAAGTCAGCTAGACTTGAGAGCAGGCTGTACATACGTGCCTCTTCATGTTGCTTTGTGATCAAATAATAAGACTTCTGAGCCTTCTTCAGTCTACCTTTGGCTTACTCAGGAATTCCATAAGAGGTCCCTGAGAAAACTACCACCTTTTCCATGATATTATAGAGGAAAAATGAGTTCAGTTAAAGCTTCCTTAAATGTTTCAAGTTCACAACTAATGGAACAAAAAATATTGGAATTAAAATGCAATTATATATGTAAAGGGTCAAAATATATTTTAAAATAAGAACAATTTCTTACAGCAAGATAATTTGTTTAAACTACTGTAGAGATCAATATATGTGCAGTCTGCATCTGCTTTTTTTTGGTTTAGCTGTGTTCTTAATGGAGTCCATAGTACACAAGAAGCCTCCCACATGCTCAGTTTGATTTCAAGTACTTCATATCTCCCAATTCTTACATAATTTGGAAGCTAACCTTTTAAATATAATGTAAAATTACACAGATTGAGTGTTCTAATAATATTTGAATTTTGTTTCAGAGCAAAGTAGAAGAGATGATTTGGAAGCTTTAGGTCATATGTTTATGTATTTTCTCAGAGGAAGCCTTCCATGGCAAGGTTTAAAGGTAGTGGTTTTTGATATCTTCCTCTATCCTATTTTCAGATCATCAGCTTTTCTTGCCATGATCTCTTTCTTTTTGAAAGTTTGTCTGCAAGATGTATAACTTCAGAAGCTTGTTTTGTTCTTGTATCATAGGCTGATACATTAAAAGAACGTTACCAGAAAATTGGAGACACAAAACGAGCAACCCCTATAGAAGTACTGTGTGAAAACTTTCCAGGTAATGTCTACTGTTAATAAAAATGTCATGTATTGATTTAGAAAATGAAACTGGCATAGATAATTGTTTAATATTTGGTTTTAAAAATAAAATAATGCTTCCAAATATGTGTATTATGTACTATGGTAATAGATACAAGAATTATCCTTTGAAGCAGCACTAAGATAATTCTGGTGTTCTTCAAAGATAGATTCTTCTAAAAGAAACATTAAAAAAAATTAAGGATATATATTCCTACGGTGATCAACTAGTCTTCCAAATATGTGTATTATGTACTATGGTAATAGATACAAGAATTATCCTTTGAAGCAGCACTAAGATAATTCTGGTGTTCTTCAAAGATAGATTCTTCTAAAAGAAACATTAAAAAAAATTAAGGATATATATTCCTACGGTGATCAACTAGTCTACACTTGTATCTTCACACATAAAATTTTGCAAGCCTTTTCAGCTCAAACCTGATATCATATCCCTTTTTAAAACAAGCAACATTAGGAACAGCTTGAAATAATATTTAAAATAACTTGCAGGTAGTTTCAGGTGTCACTTCTAGTTCTCCTTAAGTGCATGGATAATCAATGAGGTATTGGAAAATGGGAGAGAAGCAAATGTGACTTTTTTTTTTAAAAGTTGGACTAATCAGCTCAGGATGGGACACACACACACATGACACGGACACGATTTTGCCAAAATAAAAATAAACACCTTGAAAAATAATCACAGTGGCATTGATAGGCAAAATGGATTTGCAGAGAATAGCTCATGACAAACTGCTTTGATTTCCTCTTATGAAAGGATATCCTGTCCACAGCAGGCCTTGTGGGCAGGAGGCAGATGTTTTATGTCATGAAATCTTAGTGCTTTTGATGATCTTTTTAAATATTCTCACAAGTAATCTAAAAAGCGTAATCAAGAAGAATCTACTGTGGGAAGAAGTGTAAAACAATTTGAAGTAGTTAAGTACATTGTTGCCAAATTTGAAACATGAAATGGTATTCCACAGAGATCTATGCTGGATCTGTTCAGTATTTTTGAGTGCCTTGTATAATTGAGAGTTTATTAAACTTGCAAATGATAAGTTTGAAATTTGTAGGCTCAACAGTGGGGTCAGAATGAAATGATCCTGACAGATTACAAATACAGCCTTAAAAATATAAGGTACAGTTCAATAAATCATGTTCAAGGTAGTATATGAAGATAGGATCAAATCCAAATTAAGAATTATTGGGTATGGAAAGCTTCCTTAGGTAATGGCTCAAAGTCAGTCATTCACAAAGTAAATGCAAGTGAGCAGTGTCATGCTGCTATATTTTTTAAAAACAAATTAACTAAACCCCTATGCTAAGTTGGATTATATAAACAGGATATAGCCTGAAAGACAGATGAATTGCCATTTCCACTGTACTTGACTCTGTAAAGCCTCAACTGAAACAGTATGTTCAATTTTGGGGACTGTACTTCAAGAAAATGTATCCTATTTTAATGGTATCTCATAAAGAAGTGGGAGTGCTTATATGCCATATTTGCTAGACCTATCACCAAAGACTGAAGGCATGAAGATTGGTTTAGTCAAGATTGTGAGGGAAAGAAGTTCTCCTGTACCTTTCGGCTGCTACAAACACGAAAGGAATCGGTTTGCTACAGCCACAGCAGCTAGGACAAAGTAATGGATGTAATTCAAAACAGTTAAGTTTAGACTTGAACTCCTGTGTTTCAAATATAGTGAAGAGCATGAAGGGATTGCCATTGCCAGGGAGACTGTGGAGTTTCTTTCACTGGAGTTGTGTGAAAACAAACCAGACAGACAACGCTGTAACCAATTTGCTATGGGATAGGGTGGTGTACTAGATGACCTTTTGAAGTTCTTTCAAACCTTTGGTAAAAATTAGTCCATCAACAATTTTTCTTATGTTTTTCATTTTACTTTCTTGTGTGTATTAAAATACAATAAAATCAAGTGAAATTGGCTTTTGTTATAGAACTTAGAGCAAATGTCTGAACACGTTTGGTGAATTGACAAAAGTTTAAATGTGGGGAAAAAAAACTTGTTCTGGAAAATGTATCTTCTGCATCCAGTAATGCATGCATGTCCTGCATGTTGATTTTTATGTAGTTGCTAGAGTCCTCTAAAAAATAAGTATCTAATTTAAGGTGTATATGGTGCAATTCCTGGAAATAATTATGCATGTGTAGCTCCATAGATCTAGTGGAGTGTTTCCACCAAATTTGATCAAGTGCATGCTTGTTGGCAGGATTGGATCTGAAAATGGAACAGGGAAAAGATACTTGACCTTGGAGAACACAAAAGATCAACTTCTTTGATAGTACATATGTACATTTTCATAATAAATATATTCTTGTATGTGGAAGTTTTTGCGTGTCAAATATCTGAGGATTTTCTGCCTTTTCCTGTCTTTGTCACTTAAGACATAGAATAGAATGAGAAGTACATCCACCATCATTTCAGTTCTTTTCAGTCAGCCTGCGGACTGAGCTAGCTGATTGATGTTCCATAAGGCAAGAGAACTCTGTAGTATCAGTGAAAGATATTTTGGTCTTTGTCACATGTGAAACACATCTTTTTCATCCCCTGTTCTGTGGAATTGTACTGTCTTTGAGTGTGCAACACTACTGGGGTTTCAAGCCTTGTATAAAATATGAGCAAGGATGTAAAGTCTGGAGTTTCAGCTTCAAGTACATAAGGGTGGTATTTGATTTTTGGAGTCAGCCAGTTGTAACATTCAGCTGCATTAAATGGCTCAGTTCCAACCTTTATACCTCTGAAGAAATGCCTTACATGTTTTGGGTTCCGGTTTACATTAGGAAAGTATGGTTGAACAGGTCCCTAGCAATGTGTCAACATTTCTCTTCACCTTCTTCAAACACTGATGTCCTTGGCTAGTATTGCTGAAGTCTTGCTTGTCTGCTGAGCTGGACCTTAGGTGCCAAGGTATTCCTCCTATCCACTGCTCCATCTGCTCATGCCTAAAACATAGCACTTAATACTCTGATTTTGTCAGAACTGAGTAATTTGGGATCTCTCAGCACCATTGTCCTGTGGTGCATTCTTGATGGCACCAACATGATGCTGCCTCACAACTTTTTGTTATCAAGCTGGTCTCAAACCTTCACTTCTCCCTTTTTCTACCCCACTATCTCTGAAAGAGTGTAACTTAGCATAGCTCAGTCTTAGCACTGCCTCTGCACTTCTCAGTCATCCTCTGTCAGAAGATAGGCTTCTTACAGCACCTTATTTGTACCACAAAACATCAGCTTCTCCAGACTTACTGGAATGTGATGTGCGTGTCAGGGTGAGTGTGCAGTGATACTGTTGTGCTGTTTCTGACATACATAACTCTTCATAGGATCGGTGAGTGCTGGTGGCATCTACTTTTAACCTTATTCATCCTCTGACTTTCTGGTCATATAGAGGTGCTTTCTCTTGTGCTTTGGGACTATGTGAGCAGCCTTTTTGGCTTGAGAGTGAGGAGTCATTGCTTTTCTTAGAATGGCTTGCCAGTGGGTGGTTTCCCATGCTTCCATGAGCTACAAAGGTTCCTAAACAAGTTAGATTTTAAGAGTTCTGGCCACCTGGAACTCATGTCCCAAGACTCAGGTCAAGTGCTTCACCTGATCCATATCAGATTGTGAGAAGTTGTTGTAGTACTCTCTTCCAAACCACTATGGTGTGATTTCCGCCCCCCCCCCCCCCCCTTTTTTTTTTCCTTCTGTAACAGGGGTTATGGATGGATGCAGTCTGAATGAACCAAAATTTCAGTATGGTTAGGTTTTTGCTCTCTTCACTCTTCCAGTACTTTAGTTCTTTCTTATAATACCTGCTGGAGTGGAAGGACCTGTAGGACTTGGTCTTTTGTGAAAGCTTGTTAACATTTATCTCTTCTCACCATCTGCTGTTTTCTCAGACTGTTGTATTTCCACGTGCCCCTCATTTCACTGATTCCTGAAGGAGTTATTGCAAATGTAGTCACATGTCTGAGCAGTTTCTCAATGGGATTTGAAGCTTGTGCTTCGTATGTTCATGGGTCCTCCCTTTCAGCCCTTGGATTCTTGTAGTCTTCTGTCCACACAATGCTTGTTTCTTACAGCTGTTGTCTCAGAAGCCTTTCATGGCTTATACTCATTATCAAGAATGGGACTTCTGTATGCTTTATTCACCTGCCAAGAGGTTTGTCCTGGGACTCTTGTCTTAACAAAAAGGTTCTGGCTGCTAGTGTGCAGTCTGTACTTCATACCCTTTAACGACTAGGAAAGCTCTTTCCTTTTATCTTTACAGGTCCAGGCCCTTTCAGAAATCTCCCTGGTTGTCTCCTCCACTGGGAGAATCTTATAATTCCCATGTAACACCTACCCAAGTGAATCTCCATTTGTATGCTGACATGGTATTTAAACGTTGCTATTAGAATGACTTCTGACCAAAGTCAGTTTACAAGAGCTCAGGTAACCTTAGTATTTCTCTGCAGTGTTTCTGTTCAGGATATTTGCCGCTTCTGCTCAACACTTTCACATAATGTGATGCCTGAAGATTCAGTGCTGCTGCAGCCTTCCATAGTCATATTACAGTTACAGCTCAACAGAGCTTATACCGAGTGTTTTTTGTCAGGACAATTGGAGTTGCCCACTTTAGAATGTACATGTGGATCCTCTCTTAAAGGAAGGTTACATGCCAGTAACATGGTGGACTGTTTGAGACACAGTCCACCCTGTACATTTATATACCCCCTTCTTTACATTTCCTTAGGCTTGTCTTTGTACAATTAATTGCAAAAAAAATTGAAGACTAGAGGCATTTCTTTCCCCACTTTCTTGGCACACTGTGCCTCAGGATTGGAAGGTTGAATGGAAGATTTTGACAGGTAATGCAAAGGGAAAATTAGTAGGGAGTCACTTGGTAGGATATGTTTAGAATATGGCATATGTCTTGAAGAATATTATTACTATTATGTAACTTTTCTTTCTGGTAATTCACAGATTCATGGTGAACAGCTGTTCAGGTTTTATGGTGAGAGGTAGAAGTTAGTTTAAAATGTAATAATAAGTACTGGTTTTTTGAGTGCCATTAAAACAGGTATGGCTATTATGTACATTTCTTATTTATACAGAGGAAATGGCTACATACCTACGTTATGTAAGAAGGCTAGATTTTTTTGAAAAGCCGGACTATGACTACTTAAGAAAGCTCTTCACAGACTTACTTGATCGGAAAGGCTATAAGTTTGATTATGAATATGACTGGATTGGCAAACAGTTGGTGAGTACAATTAAGCTATTAGTAATATACTGGGTTTTTTGTGCAACCAGTTTTGAGCCAGTGTTAGTCTTGAGTTTCAGAATACATGTGCATCTCATGGCTGCTATTAGCGTTGTGAACAGCTGCTATTATAAACCCGTTTTCAGTTGCATTTTCAAACATTATCTTTTGGCTTGAGATGTTTCATAGTGAGTCTTTCTCCAAACACGTACTCTTAATATCAAAGTAAATCTCTGTTCAATCCAAAATGAGGTTGTAGGAATTCAGACTGGTTTTTGAGTTGAGGAAGGAGTTTAAAACTTTGCAGATGATTGTTATTATTGCATGTATTTTCTTGCTTTTGGGGAATTTCTTGCTCCCAGTATTTTTAAAATGTAGAGCAATTACTTCCCTGCATCTGCTGTATACTCCAGATATTTATCAGTTCATTATGAAGAAACTGTCTATATGCAGTTCTAATGAAATATGGTGTAGAATATCAGTTTCCATCACAGTGCGTCTAAAGTTACAGAAAATACTGTGTTTATATTCTTTAAAGAAAGGGTAAAATATGAATATTTCAGGGCCTCAAATTTTTCCTTGCTTCTTTTTAGTAAGTAGGGAAGGGGTTGTGTGTGTAAGTTGGACAATTTTGGATTATACATTTTACCCTGAAGTTCCCTGTGTGGCTCTCTGAAAGAATCATAGTATTTTATTGCTAAATCTTTTTTCAGTGTTTAGCATTAAAAATTACTTTAAGCCTTTCTTCAGACTTTCATCAGAATGTCCTAACTGCTAACTGCAGAAAATATGAGCCTAAAGTCTTTCAGAAAATTGTCTGATAATACTCAGTTTTGCTATTTCATGAAAATGTGTAAGTCTTGGTTTGACTTTTTTCTCTGTTATTAGTAAATATCTAGTGAAGCTTTTGCTTTAATTTGATAATTTTGGGTTATGTAAACTGTCAGATTTAAAGATTAATTTCTATTACAAACCAGTAACTTTTGGTAAGACTTAGAAATTTATTTTTTTTACCAGTTGCTACATATTGTTTATATTTGTAGCCTACTCCAGTGGGTTCAATACATTCAGACCCTGCACTGTCTTCAAACAGAGAAGCATATCAGCACAGAGATAAAATGCAACAATCCAGAAATCAGGTAAATTGCTCATGTAACATTATCAGCATTACTTTGTCTTTTGTCTAATGATTCATGCTCTGTTGTTGCTTTTATTAGAACTCCAAAATAAAATTGACTCCAGGTTTTCTTTGTTTTTTCATTGATTTCAGTAGGTCCTTGTTAATGTATTTCTACATCTGTAGACCTTAACTTGTCCTAAAATGTTGCTTGTTTGATGCTATGGTATAACGTAGCTTACATCAGTAGTGAATTTTCTCTCTGCTGATACTTCTTGAATTTTTTTTTTCCTCTGTTTCTAATCACTGTCTCTTCCCCATATACTATATCATCTATTGGGGTTCTAACATGTATGTATAACATTTTCATTTTTTTTATAAACCAGGATAATGACCAAGGTGGTAAAAACGTTAGGAATTTAGATTTGTGTCCATTTACCTAAGCTAAGTTACAGGGTTGTGTTGGTGGCCTTTGTTTCTTACTTGGAATTTTGAGTTTTAGCTACTTTACTTCTCTATGAAAATGTATGTGTAGGTATATGTAAGTATGCAGATAATGTTGATGTACAATCTATATAGGAATTGAGTATGTAGTGCTTCTGTGCTTTTTAAAAATAATATATAATAATTAATGCATGACTTGTTTATTTTGAGAATTTTTATTTCTTCTTTTGCATATATTCCTAATGCATTAAAAACTGATAGTCAACAGACCATAGGGCAGCTTGGGACTCACAGCAAGCCAATCCACATCATTTGAGGGCTCACCTAGCAGCTGACAGACATGGTGGCTCGGTACAGGTATTTTCTGCTTCTTTGCATGACTTAATCAGTCATTTTGCATTACATAATACTAGTTTCCTGTAGTGCATGACATGATTCCTATTTTCATATTAAGCTCACTTTCCAGTAGTGTTCAGAATGTTCCTATTATTCCCTACTTCACAATTGCCAAACTGAAAGTAAAACAGGTGCAGAAAACTATGGCTCTTTTTGTATGTGGAATTACTGCTACATGTTTCTTAGTGAAAGCCTAAAACAATGGAACCATATCTCTTTTTGAGGGAATATACACTTACATAAGTGTGAGCAATTGAAGTTTAGACATTTGATATATTATTTAGTTGTATTAGCAACTAAAATGCTATTGACTGAATTCAGTGTTGTTTAAGTCATGTTTTTTGTTCCTTAAGCAAACTTCAAATGAAAGTGTTTAGTAGTGATTTTTGCTTAAACTTTACTACTTTTGTTCAAACAATAGTTGACTAGAACAATGCTTCCCAGGGCAGTACTTCACACTTATCAGTGGAAAAATGAGTAGAAACCAACAATTTTTCCTTTATTATTAGTTTATTTCATCTTCAAAGAGCTTTTTTCATGGTTTGCTCTTAATTTTACTTTTTTGTGTCTTGCTCTTTGAATATATTTAGGGACGAGATGGTTGGGATAATACATAAGGAAGTCTAAATTTAATATAGAAGGATTCAAAATGCCAGCTGAAAAGTCTATATGAAGTTTTGAGCATTCAGTCTGAAATTAAAATAATTTAGCTTTGTAAAATATTTTCAGGGGGAAAAAAAATTCTTTTGTCTGCTGCGTTTTTGATTCTGACAATCTAAGTTACGTATATTTATTCTGAAGTTTTGTTTTGGAAAAAAATTGTTGATGCCTGAAGAAAGAATGGGAAGTTCAGGGTAAAGAAAACAGTGCTGTAGTCTCACCAGTGTGATAATTCCATACCTTCTTTAAATGCTTTGAAATTCAATTCAAACTTAGCATTCTGTTAATTTTGCTGCTTTAGAAACTACTGTCATGTGTCATGTAAGAAAAGCTAGTAGATGATAATTATCACTATGCATCAAGAAAAGTTTAAAAATTGTTCTATGCTTCCCATTAACAGATATTTTGAAAACTTTATCTGTATATTTAACTTGAATTGCAATAGTTCTCTCAACATCAGTTTTAAAGGTAGTAATTTTTCTTTTGAGAACAGTATAGTAATGTGGAATCAAAATTGGGGTTGAAATTGTATCTTCCAAAATTATTACTTTTTTTAGGTTAGAAAAATACATATTTAACTTGTAAATTCCAGTTAGTAGAACTTTCAAACTGTATATCATATCACTCTTTTGGCAATCGTAGCACTTAAGAAACCTTTTATTCTTTCTCAGGTAAAATGTAGCAATCACAAGAGATTTTATTCCATTGTAACGTATGTTAAATACCCTTTGGGAGTGGGGAGAACATTTTCTAGGAAATACCAGTAGTATTCCTTTCTGTTAATATAATGTTCTTCCTTTTTTTTTCTCAAAGGATATGGGCATTCTGAGTTCAGATCACTTAGATTAGTTGAGACTAAACAGTTGCCATGTAAAAAGAGCAGTGTGCAAAACTGCATCCATTTGGTCTGTGTCTTTGAAGATCAAGTGTTGTACAGAAGGGTATTTTCAGGCCAGCTTAATTGGGTTGCTTTTTAGCGGGGAGTGGTCATACTTCCTCATTAAAAGCACTTATAAAACTGTATAATAATTTTCAGTTTTGTTTTGAAGTTTGAGCCCTTGACTGTTGTCAAATACCCCTTTGTTGTAGTGATACTAACTGAATCATGCTATTAAGTTGGACAATTAGCTAGCAAGTTTAACTGGATTCCTAACTGCCCCCAAGAAGACAAGTTCTAAAAGTGCCACAGATAATTGTTCAAAGGAAAGTTGTGTCTAAGGTATGAAATTAAAGTGTATTTATTTTTTCTGTGACCTTAGTGAGTCATTGTTCATCTTTGAGATCAGTTTTATGCTGAATTACCCTTTTTTCTGCAAGATATGAAAATCTGGCAGATAATTTTGTTTTAAAGTGACAATGGAATGTTTTTTAGGTCACTACTATTACAGTCATCTGTAATACTACTGGTGATGTCTTCTCTGAGATCCTTTTGTAGAAGATTATTAAAATATCTTAGTGATTCTTCACTATGACACATTAAATTCAAGTGGACTGAATGTTGGTATGTGTGTATATGTATGTTAGTACATATTTTTATGATCTTAGTAACAGTGTTCAAGCGGGAAACATTCAGGTTCTAAATGATTTGTTCATTAATAGTAATCATTCTGGTTTTTGTATTAAAGTTAAGTTACAATGTATAAATTTAAGTTATCCCAAACTCTCTAGGCCTTTGTTAGAGATATACTAATGTTTTTAATCATGTCTGATTTTACCTTGTAGCATCAGTTCTCAGTTCATGTTCAAATACTATCAGCAAATTGAGTTGTAAGTTGTAAACCTCCAGAAATAGTTCACATCCCTTCTTCCACTTTTCTCTATTTAGAGTAAGATAAAAAATGCTGTAGTATGGCAGTCCATCTTTCTAGTTTGTGTAGCCTTGTTAATGAGATGCAACTTGTACCTCCCAGCAATTCATTCAGCAGCTTCCTGTGTCTTTATTTTTGTTTGCCTCAGTTCCCAAAAATGTCAGTTGTACAGCACTGAATTGTTTCCTTCTCTACATGAACTGCAGACTGCTTATGCACTCATAAAGACTGTACTAATCTGTTTGTTACTTTTTTTTATCACTTGCTAGCTGAAAAATGTCAGTACAGCACTGAATTGTTTCCTTCTCTACATGAACTGCAGACTGCTTATGCACTCATAAAAAAGACAAGAAAAGTTTAAAAATTGTTCTATGCTTCCCATTAACAGATATTTTGAAAACTTTATCTGTATATTTAACTTGAATTGCAATAGTTCTCTCAACATCAGTTTTAAAGGTAGTAATTTTTCTTTTGAGAACAGTATAGTAATGTGGAATCAAAATTGGGGTTGAAATTGTATCTTCCAAAATTATTACTTTTTTTAGGTTAGAAAAATACATATTTAACTTGTAAATTCCAGTTAGTAGAACTTTCAAACTGTATATCATATCACTCTTTTGGCAATCGTAGCACTTAAGAAACCTTTTATTCTTTCTCAGGTAAAATGTAGCAATCACAAGAGATTTTATTCCATTGTAACGTATGTTAAATACCCTTTGGGAGTGGGGAGAACATTTTCTAGGAAATACCAGTAGTATTCCTTTCTGTTAATATAATGTTCTTCCTTTTTTTTTCTCAAAGGATATGGGCATTCTGAGTTCAGATCACTTAGATTAGTTGAGACTAAACAGTTGCCATGTAAAAAGAGCAGTGTGCAAAACTGCATCCATTTGGTCTGTGTCTTTGAAGATCAAGTGTTGTACAGAAGGGTATTTTCAGGCCAGCTTAATTGGGTTGCTTTTTAGCGGGGAGTGGTCATACTTCCTCATTAAAAGCACTTATAAAACTGTATAATAATTTTCAGTTTTGTTTTGAAGTTTGAGCCCTTGACTGTTGTCAAATACCCCTTTGTTGTAGTGATACTAACTGAATCATGCTATTAAGTTGGACAATTAGCTAGCAAGTTTAACTGGATTCCTAACTGCCCCCAAGAAGACAAGTTCTAAAAGTGCCACAGATAATTGTTCAAAGGAAAGTTGTGTCTAAGGTATGAAATTAAAGTGTATTTATTTTTTCTGTGACCTTAGTGAGTCATTGTTCATCTTTGAGATCAGTTTTATGCTGAATTACCCTTTTTTCTGCAAGATATGAAAATCTGGCAGATAATTTTGTTTTAAAGTGACAATGGAATGTTTTTTAGGTCACTACTATTACAGTCATCTGTAATACTACTGGTGATGTCTTCTCTGAGATCCTTTTGTAGAAGATTATTAAAATATCTTAGTGATTCTTCACTATGACACATTAAATTCAAGTGGACTGAATGTTGGTATGTGTGTATATGTATGTTAGTACATATTTTTATGGTGTTAGTAACAGTGTTCAAGCGGGAAACATTCAGGTTCTAAATGATTTGTTCATTAATAGTAATCATTCTGGTTTTTGTATTAAAGTTAAGTTACAATGTATAAATTTAAGTTATCCCAAACTCTCTAGGCCTTTGTTAGAGATATACTAATGTTTTTAATCATGTCTGATTTTACCTTGTAGCATCAGTTCATGTTTAAAGTTCAAATACTATCAGCAAATTGAGTTGTAAAGGGAAGACCTCCAGAAATAGTTCACATCCCTTCTTCCACTTTTCTCTATTTAGAGTAAGATAAAAAATGCTGTAGTATGGCAGTCCATCTTTCTAGTTTGTGTAGCCTTGTTAATGAGATGCAACTTGTACCTCCCAGCAATTCATTCAGCAGCTTCCTGTGTCTTTATTTTTGTTTGCCTCAGTTCCCAAAAATGTCAGTTGTACAGCACTGAATTGTTTCCTTCTCTACATGAACTGCAGACTGCTTATGCACTCATAAAGACTGTACTAATCTGTTTGTTACTTTTTTTTATCACTTGCTAGCTGATCTCCTTCCTCTTGTCCTTTCTCTTTCTGTGTTCCCATTTGGAAATTCTTAAAAGGAGATCAGATTAAAAGATCAGGTTAAAGAGTTCTCAGTGAAGTGCCATAGGTCTTGAAAGGTGCTTCGGAACTGCTTGAAAGCTTAGATATTTGATGTAAGTAGTTTTTGAGTTGCAAGACACCTCTCCTTCAAGATGTCAAGACAGCAATGTGTTGGATGAAACAAATCAATTTCCCTTAGCTTTTGTGAATTAAAAAGGTAGTGTGAATTTTTTTGGTTCTTTTGTCTTAACTGGAAGCTTTTTGAAGGTAAAATATAGCGTTCTGTAGTATCACGAATGAATTTCTTAGGCCTGAAGGCTGGCTTTGTTTTTTGAAGAGTGGAGAGTTCAGTTACTGAGACTGGTTGTGAAATGAAGGATTGTTTTCTAAGAGACTTTCTGACTGATTTTTGAACATAGCAAGTAAAAGATCAGTTTACATACTAATCCAAAACAAAGCATGGGGCTAGCCTGAAGACTCGCTTCATTTGGGGAACTGGTATTCAGGCTTAACTTTGTCTTATTATAACTGGCCCTTAGCAAGCTTCTAAAGGACCATATCTAAGAAACTAATCTGTTCTGCGATTAATATGTCTCATTATTATGTAGCGGGTCTAGTATTTTAAGTTTGTTTGCCTTATGGCATAGAGGGTAGCAAGAAACAGCCGATGTGACACATATGCTTCTTTATATATGTGCTCTTCAAATTAAACTTTTAAAGAACTTAAATTAAGTTGATTAAATTTGAAGGAATTAAATTTAAACTAGGATAAGATCTGTTATCAAAATGCTTAAAGTTGTTTTAGATTTTCAGTTTAGGGGTTAATCTCCCACTTGTATGTAGGTGAGCAGCTTAAGTTAATCTTCAACATTGGAACACTTCTAATTTGAAACTTAGTTTAATATATTAGTTTTCAGAAACCTAATTCTGTGACTATTCATGGAAAAATGTTCATGTAGTTTTTGTTAACAGAATTTTTAGGTGCAAAAACATAACTTAAATATCTACATTTTTTCACTATAATCGTATACAAATCTGTTAAGAGATGAATTGTGCCTCCCATCTTTCATCAGGCTACTGAGGAAATCCAGTCCAACTCCAGTCATAAGTAGAGAAATGAAATTAAAAATTTCTCTTTAAGCACTGTTAGTTTTGTGTATCAGTTCTCTCTCCTTTCCTAAAGTTTTAGATTTTTATGTGGATCCACTATGATGAATCTTCTTTGTGCCTTATTTGTGGTACATCCTGGCCACAGAATTTCGTGTACCGCACCTTCAGTGCATAAGCTGTCTTCCAGGTGACTTATTCTTGTTCAATTTTGTTATATTCCCATATCTTTCTACCTGTGTTTTGCTGATTTTTGAGATGATTGGCATGTAGTCTGAGAGAGAAAAGTCTAATGGTTGGTCTAACTTAAGCCCATATGCTCCAGGATCAGGAGTGTACAAGTGTTAACACTGCTTCATTTACCCTGCATTATCAGTCTTTTACCAAATACACTTTTTGGTCAGATTGAAAAATATATTACTGATGTCACAGGGAATTAACTTCTGGCATTGTAGGTTGTTTTAGCAAGGTACAGAACTTACAATTGTAAGATCATACAGTTGTAGCTTTACTGATACTGGAGCTGAAGCACTCCTTCCTATCTCTTGTTCTCCTTTAAATGAGTCTTTGCTAGTTTTTTTTAAAGGTAAATATTTTACTCTGTTGCAGGTGCATTAATTCTTGGTTCTTCGTCTTACTGACACCATTCCTAGAGCTGTTCTCAGCAGTAGTAGACTAGAGTGAAACTCAAGGCATTTGTGATTCTGGAGAAGCATGACTGATGCTGGTTTTTGGACTACTGATACCCTTTGTTTCACTTATGCTTTCAGAGGTCACAACTCTTTCCAGAAAGATGAACTTCATTTTCCTCCCATTCAAACTAAGCCATGCAACAGGCAGTTATACTTGATCGTATCTGGTTGTGTATTTGGTGGATGTGTCTGGTGTATGTATATGGGAAGGACTGAGGTCTTTTTCTCCTTGATCTCTATCTTTTTGATAGAGATCAACTAGAGTGAGGCACGACAGTCTTCTGCTATCTAGTGCGAAGTCTTCTGCAAAGTTTGTATTGAAGTTTCTTAGAGAAAACAGTCATCTTAAATGAACAAAAAAACACCTTAGGACAAATGCTGTCTTGAAAAGAAAGACTTCTCCCACTAAAGGAAACCACTGTCAAGAAATACTATTCAGTTTTGAAATTGGTTTGAAGAACTTCAAGAAAAGAATCACCAAACAGGTTGTTACAGCTTCTCTGCTTCCTCTTTTATAAGCATATAAATGTGTTGGGAAACCCTGAAATAAGCATTGTTCTTTGTTACCATATGGCAGTGCATTGACCCAAGCAGAAGATTGTTATTGCTTCTTTAAAGCTCAAGTCAGCTTAGATTAGTATAAGTTTAAGTAACTGTGATTTTAAAAAAAACCAACCAATAAACCTGTCATAAACCAGGAGGTTTTTTGGTTTTGAGTTGCTCAAATCTTGCAAATATTCTTTTAACAATTGCCAGAAGAGGTTCCAAAGATACCAGAAGAGAGTTGTTGACAAAGGCTGATAAGAACCATCCATGAATCTTGAACCAGAGGAGCAAACCTTTTATTGCTGATCTACCTGCCTCTCCAAAATGGACTTCCTCTAGCGGTGATAGACAGGCAGACTATAAAAACGTGCTTAGGTACAGTTTTGTTCCTGTCAAAATGTTTTCACTTTCTCCTAAATTTTTTATCCATCAGAAGGGAGAGATGGATTTTTTCAACCTACTGTTGAAAAATAATATTCATAACTAGATTATTAACATAGGAAGGATTTTTAGATACCTACTTTCATGTTTTCCAGCTCACATGAAGAATGTGTACATGCTTGAGTCTGATCCCTTTTTTTGAATCTGCTGTCCAAGAAGATAGAGGTGAATGATTGAATAGGCACTCCTGGGAAAGAAGTGTGGAGGAGAATGCCATGTGAAAGCTCCATAGATGCTGGAGTTGGGCAATATGTTTGATATTTGAGTAAAAGTCATGTTTTCATTTGCTTTTTGTAGGAAAAGAGAAGAAAATAGGAGTTCTTGCAACTACCTGTGCAAACTGTCACGTTCTTTACAACAGTCAGGAATGCTGAGGTGTATGGGGTTGCTTGCCATCCAGAAAGGGGCATATACCTGTTGTCTTGTTTCTTGATGTACCCTACCCTTACTCGAGTAAACTGAAGAAAAAGGCTTCTGTTTCTGATCAACCGTTATTAAACCTTGAGCATAGTTCTGAGAATCTCTTTAGAAAAGTTCATTTTAAGTCTAGATCATGGAGCAGAAATCCTGAATGATTAGGACTGCAGGCAGGGTTGACTACAATCTTAATTGGGTGGCATTGCTTTATATGGATTATTGCAGGCTGCAGTTGTGATTAGTTACGTAGTTATCATTTGGATCCTTTGGATCCAAAACTCATTTGGTGGACAAGTTGAGCACATTTTTTTACCCTTACATTTTCATGAACAATCCTGTTTGATTTAGCAAGTACTTGCCATGCAAACACCATATGTTTCTGCTCTGCTTATCACTGTTACAACTGGATATTTCACAAGAAGCAATGAAATTATTTGCACAGTAAGATCCCTGGTGAGATGGTTGGGATCATACTATTTCCCCTTACCAGTAAATATGGACAATGATGACAAGAAATATTAAGATACTAGTAAAAAAAAAAAAAAAAATCTACTAACCCAAGGTGTTTAGTTTAAGATGCCTGACCAACCATCTTATGATTTGTTAAAGTACAATTCCTACCTATTTCTGTCACTGAATATTTCGTGCTTCTGCCATCCCCACTGATACGAAACTAAGCTTAAGCCACCTGGTTGAAATTCCACTGACTTACCTGTCATCACAGAAATCAAGTCCAATCTCCCAGAATTCTTTCAGTTATATTGACCAAAATTTAAGTAATTAGATTCTTGGAATCTCAGACATCTTTTGTTTTGTTATTGGGCTTCAGGGTTTTTTTGGCAGTGGTTCCTATTTTAGTAAAACTCGAAAAAGAAGACTCAGCCTGGTGTAGTCATATGGCATGGAAAACAGCTTAAGTTCAGCGAACTTCTGAAGCTCTGTACTTAGTTACAGTAGGAACCACAAAGCAAACCTCAATACGCAAGGCTATTAGCTCTAGTTATAAATAGGTGAGCCATAATTGCTACCTTAAGAGGACAGCTTGGAAGGGTGAGGGGAATAGTAACATTATGATGATGACTGTCCTTCCCTCTGCTTTCTTGTACTTTAATCTCTGACCTTCAGGCAACAGCTGGTAAGAATCTTGAACTATGAACTATTGGCCCACTTTCCTGTAGCTGATTATGTTTTACAGATGTTTTCTGCAGGCTCTTATATTATTTGGCCAGAGTGATGTTTTTGTGCAATGTTGCTTGGCCAAGTATTTGCCGCTACTTTGTAGCTAGTAGACCTCTTGATACTTTAATTGGGTCAGTTAGCAGTGTCAGCTTCCCTGACCAGCTATGCACTTGTCTATATCCAGTTAACCATCTTCCTGGCAGATTCTGTGAGGTGAAAAAGGGAGAGGCCTCTGGAATAGCTCCATTTGTCATGCAGGAAAGCTGACAGGAACTGGGAGAGAGAATATTGGGTTCCATTTGGTTTAAAGTCAGAACAAACATTGCCAGAGAACCAGAGCTGTCCCAGTGGCTCAAGAATTTACAAAGGAATTTGAGAGTAAATTAATGGGAATGAAGATGAATCTAATTTTTTTTTTTTAATGGCAGTAAGTGTTCTCATGCTCTAAGAGTGAAAACCAAACACCACCTACACTCTTGGGTCCAGAGAATGTCTTAGTTTTCCCCTCTTCTGGTGAGTACTCTGAGATACAAAAGAAGGAAACTAAGGAGCTTAAATACGCTAGAGAAGCAGAGATAGGGTAAGACTGACTGAATTGATAGCAGGAAAGGGGTTAGTGCTTTCTCTTAAGGCTCTGAAGAGACATGAGAGAGATTAGCAAACTGATCAACAGAATTGCTTTGCTTAGTCCACTCACTTTGAGTCTGTCATGTAGATGTCATTTCCACTAGTGCTTATGAAAGAAAAATGGCAGGAGCGCAGGGATGCAGGAATAAAACCTGGGAAAGATACTATTATTGGAATAAAAAGAAGTATGGCATTAACAAAAATTACTGATTTTTGAAGATGTATTGTAACTTTAGGAATTGACAAATGTATGTCTGGCACTAGCATAATTTTAGGTATTTCTGGTGATTTCAGGTAGTAAGCTCAACAAATGGAGAACTGAACACAGATGACCCAACTGCAGGCCGTTCAAATGCACCCATCACAGCTCCTGCAGAAGTAGAAGTAATGGATGAAACTAAGTATGTCCATCTTTTATATTCTTTGGATCTACTCAGCTACTTCAAAATTTTTCTTGTATAGTTATTAAAAAAATATTGTCTAAACTGAATAGCCACTGGTGAGGGGCAAAACTATAGTGCTATACTTAATTTTGGCTTTAAATATTTAAATAATAGACTTTCTATAACTTGTGCTTTTTAGGCTAAGCCCTCAATAAGCCTTCTATACTAGAGCAGTGCATGCATTTTTGATATTTCAACTGATTTTGAAATATTTATTTTAAGATAGTGTTCTGACTACCAAAAGCTATGTATGAAAGATGTAAAATTCTTCCTCTGTGTGGTATTCTGATTCTCTTTTTCCCCTTACTCTCTTTCTGTATAGCTGCCAGAAAGTGTTGAACATGTGGTGAGTTCTACCGCACAGGCAGGCAGAAATAGCCCCAGGGGCTTTGTTCTTGTTACTTGGTTTAAAACTAATTTCAGAGAACTCTAAAATAAAAAGTCCACTTGGAAATCACAAAACATGTTTTAATATTGTGAAACAATTAACTGTTTTTACAAACAGCCACCTTCAGGAGCTATTTTGCCTGCTTCAAATGTTGCTTGCTTTTAAGTTGTGTAGTCTGTGGTGTACTTTATTTAATCCTTTTTAGTGTGTAGTAGAATATTTTTTTCTTACTTGCTATCCTGTTTTAGAGGGGAAAACATTCTTTTCAGATATTGTAGCATTCAGCTAGTATTTTTAACATCTAGAAAATAACTCACTTATATGAACAAGTAATGAATGCTAGCAAATGTTTGAACTTTGTCCGTTATGTCTGTAAACATAGTATTTACCAGAGTATTAGTCTTTGACAACCTGCTAACAAATTGCTAAAACATAACTACAGGATTCGTTAAAGTTAGTGTAATGAAAGGGGAAAACATTAAGGTCTGTTAACATGGGGTGGACAACTAATGTATATATTTGAGTATATAAGGATATATTATACATATATCTCAAATATATATCTCAATTACTCAAATATATATATATTTGAGTAATAAAGTCAGACTTGTAAAATAGTACAGAAAAATATACTGCCTTTAGCTATCAGGAATAACTTTCAACATATTTTCTTTTATAATTGTGATTGGAATAGCTAATGTATATATTTGAGTATATAAGGATATATTATACATATATCTCAAATATATATCTCAATTATACTCAAATATATATATTTGAGTAATAAAGTCAGACTTGTAAAATAGTACAGAAAAATATACTGCCTTTAGCTATCAGGAATAACTTTCAACATATTTTCTTTTATAATTGTGATTGGAATAGGTTGGTACAAGGGTATGGATCTAGTTTATCATAAAATAGAGGCACTCAAGTATGAAGGATACATTAGTAGCAGAAAAATCCAGTAAGCGTTCCTTAATAGCAAAAAGTCAGACTTGTAAAATAGTACAGAAAAATATACTGCCTTTAGCTATCAGGAATAACTTTCAACATATTTTCTTTTATAATTGTGATTGGAATAGGTTGGTACAAGGGTATGGATCTAGTTTATCATAAAATAGAGGCACTCAAGTATGAAGGATACATTAGTAGCAGAAAAATCCAGTAAGCGTTCCTTAATAGCAATAAGTTTTGTAGGGTCCATTTTCGTAACTTTTAGATTAGAGAAAATTTCTCAAAGTACAAATTTTTCTTGAAGTGATTGTTCTGCAGGTTCTGGTTTTGGTATGTAAGGTTTGTCTGCATGTGTAGTTAAAAATTGTGAATGGAGGCGTCTGTTGTGCCACACTTGTGCACTAGCTTTCTGTCAGCACTGAGAAGACCAGTTCTTTACCTGCCATCTTTGCAGAGTACTGTATTATTTTTCTGGCAAGAATTCAGTGTTCTTATATATATTTAAAACAAAAAAAGACTCCAAAGGGCAAGCATGTTGATAGGCTGCACATGGAGAAGTTCCCTATCCCCTCCCTTTGGATAAGTGCAGTGATAACCTTCCTTATGCCCAGTTTATGTACACACAGGAAAAGATTAAATTAAGTTTTGAGTACTGCTTAGCACAATTAAACCTATGCTTAGTTATCTACAGAAAGTAAGAAAATTCTCAGAAGCCAAGATGCTGCAACTGCTTTAAAAGTGTAGAAGTTCCTTTCCTCTGATATGAATAATTGATGGATAAATATGCTATCCTTGACCTTTTTGGCCTAGTCTTCACTGGTTTTGTCACAGGCAAAGTATCTAGTCTTAATATCCTACTTTTTAGATTCATTTTCTTTTTCAATATGAAACACACAAATTAGTTTTCCAGCAATGTCTATTTTAACTGCAGTTTCCTCATTCACTATTTTTTTGGGGGTAGAAGTTGTTTTATACTTGGCAGTAATTAAAGCAACATGCACACCCACACCCCCTCCCCAGCACTGGTATCAGACATCAATGTATAGGTAGATATCTTTTCTCAGTAACAATACTGTAGAAGGCTTAGGTAATTTTACATTTTAACATGATAGTTGCAGGCTTAATATCAAAAGGTATTGTGAGATGTTTAAACATCCATTTATAGATTTTACACTACTGAAAAGTGTAAGAAAATGCAAGTATCAGTATCTTTCATGTCTGTGATACATTTTTTATGTATATATACACATACATTTTATAACAATATATGAAATATAACGTGTATTTTATATATATAAATATACAGACATTGTTTTATCGAAAGACTCTCACTTTGTGCCTCTCTCATAATCTTTTCTCCATCTGAAAATATGAACAAAGTTAACCTCTTTTGCTGATATCTTCTGTTTGTAACATTTCTGCATACTCTGAGGAGACAAACTTGAATATTTTTTAGAAACACTTCATTCATTGTTCTAGATGTTTTCATAGTTTTAGAAGCTTAGCATGACTATATCTTGGTTTAAAAGATTGAAGAAAGGGTGCCCTATCATGTGTGATTTTAACTATGAACACAAATATTGTTTAGCTGAATATTAGATCTTTTCTTACCATTTCAATGGGATGCTGTAAATCAGAAAGGATAAGGATTTTTTTCAGTAAGCATTTTATTGTTTTAGGATATTCATCCAACACTTCAATTGTTTGATACATGTTTATGTACTCGCATGCAGTATGTGTTCTAAGTCTTATGCCTTGTCATCTTCATGCTCCTCAGGTGTTGCTGTACAGTAAGCATGTGCAGCAAGCATGACTTAGCAGTGGGTGTTAGGTTTTGGGTTTTTCTGGGGGGGAGTTTGGGGGTTTTTTGCCTTTTTTTGTTGTTAAGAAAAGTAGTTTTCAGCTCTATTTCAGTTGTTACTTACTGGAGTTGTAAAGTAGGGAGAAAACTAACCTGATCACTGTTCTGCCCTGGCACTTGTAGATCTTGTCTTCTACAGATGATCTTCCAGTTATCACTGAGCAATTAGCCTTTCTTTCCTTAACTCTTTGCTAGCCATCAGAATAGTTGCTTCTGTGAAGCTTGTGTAATTTGGATAACCAAAAGGCTCTGCCACGGGAGGACAGAGAATGGCAAACAGGAAAAGATTATATGATCTGTCCTTTTCGCATCTTGCATTCTTTTTGTCACTTTAAATACCTGTTAATAATCCTGCAGTAAAGTGCTGCCACATGCTAGATGACAAATATAAAAACACAGCTATCTAAACACAAATGAGAACTGAAGTTGCTTTAGCATGTTGTGCCAAGGGACTGCTCAAGTGGTAGCAGGAGAGGTATGTAACAGAAAAAAGGTATGATAATGTTTTAAGTAGGACAAGAAATGTTTGTAACCATAATACTGAGATTGCTACCTTATATAATATCTCAAAGGTCACTTCAGATTGTACAGGAAAGGTTGTTTCTTGAGCTTCATAAATTGGTATTATACTGCCTCTGTAGAAATGTTTTATACCCTACAGAGAAAGAGGTTAGCAGTCATTAAATGCTTTCTTTAAAAAGAAAACAAAGTTCCTTTCCTAGAATTAGGAATTTTCAAAGCGTATCTTTTCTTATGCATTTTGCGTGCATATTGAAGAATATGATAAATTTGTGGTTTAATACTCATTAATAATGCCTCTATCTGTAGCTTTAAATATGGCTTCAAGCAATGTAATATATAAAAGTGATAATGACACCCTCTAGTGACAGTATTCTTAAGAACATGTCTGCATTTCTGTCTTAAATTATACTCTTCAAGAGATTATGCACTATGGATCTCTAATTTCAGGGTTACATTTCTTTCATAAAATTTATTATCAGGCAATGTAGTCTGACCTGTCTTATTCCCATGTAAATGTGCATATATTTTCAAATGACATTTATTTGGTCTTGGAAGGTTTGACAAGCCTAGCACTTCTAGGCTGATAAACATATATTTCAGTAAGTTTCCAAGCCAGTCCTGTGGTTGCAAATTCCCTAGGGCATTGTAATTCCTTTAACACTTTTTAGATATATTATAAATTAACAAGGGATTTATTTTCCCACACCAAATAAGTCTTCAGCACTTAGTGACATTCCCTGAACTAGAATACAGCTGAACTGTTCTCATAATTTAAAAAAAAAAAAAAAGCTGTTAATAGAAATTACACTCTTTGTAATAGTATTATGCAGACTCCAGAACAGGAGATTTAAAAAGCGGTGCTTTATGTTGGTTAAAGGTAGAACTCTTGAATTCCCCATTGCATGATGCCCTTCTCTGGTTGACAGAGAAGTAGCAAACTAAATCAGCTATGGAGAAGGAAAAAAGGACAGTATGAGATTTGCAGCAAGTATATTTCAGAAGTTTCCAAGCCAGTCCTGTGGTTGCAAATTCCTTAGGGCATTGTAATTCCTTTAACACTTTTTAGATATATTATAAATTAACAAGGGATTTATTTTCCCACACCAAATAAGTCTTCAGCACTTAGTGACATTCCCTGAACTAGAATACAGCTGAACTGTTCTCATAATTTAAAAAAAAAAAAAAAGCTGTTAATAGAAATTACACTCTTTGTAATAGTATTATGCAGACTCCAGAACAGGAGATTTAAAAAGCGGTGCTTTATGTTGGTTAAAGGTAGAACTCTTGAATTCCCCATTGCATGATGCCCTTCTCTGGTTGACAGAGAAGTAGCAAACTAAATCAGCTATGGAGAAGGAAAAAAGGACAGTATGAGATTTGCAGCAAGGGTGGGTTAAAATTTCTGGGAAGGAAAGTATGAAAACCTAAAATGTCCTTGAATTACACAGAGGATCCAAGCAGTCCTAAACATTTAAGAACTGTCATCTGCTGTTCCTTGAGACATACTCCATATAAGCAAAGTGTAGTTAAACAGTGAAGAGTTAAAATTCTAGATTCTTTCTAGAATATAAATTGTCTGCCACACTTTCATCTTCCTGCAGTTATTTATGTAACCTGTGTTCTGTATATACTAAAATTATGAATCGAGACAAAATTTTTCTACAAGCTTTCATTGAGGCCTCCTAATCTGAAACAGGTACAAAAGTGATTTACCATCACAGTCCAAGGTACGATTTCGTCATTTACAGGATCATAGCATAATTCACATTGAAAGGGAGGGACCACTGTAAAATGCTTTGTTTTGATATGATGTTTGGGGTGTGTGTGTGTATGTATGTATATAAAATACTTGGGAAAAGATCGGGGTGAAAGAAGGATTAAACTAAATTGTATGCCATACATCTGCATATAAATTCAAAGCTTAAGTGATAATGGATGTTAGTGGTTGTAGACAGATGCTAAGAAAAAGGGTTGGTAGTTATGGGGGAATTTCGGTTGCAGTTGGTGGCTACTAGCCTTCAAAACCAATTATGTCTCTTTTAGAAGTACTTTAAAGTTAATAAATACAGTATGATATTTCTGCTAGCTGTAAAAATATTTACCTATGTAGTTTCCCCTATTGAATTTTAATTTTGGGCTTCCTCTCCATCAATAACCAATGTTTTTTTCTGCTGAAAGTTACGTAACTCTCAGAGCAGCTCTGGTCTGCCTCTGCCCATTGCTACTTTTTCAGTGACTGAGCGACAGGGTGCCCTTGGATATTTTGAGAAGGTAACTTCTGTCTCCCCTTACTTTGGATGTTGTTCTCACCCCTTGTAGAATCTTGTTTTTAGACCCTTATTCTCCCTGGTTTTCAAATGCTTCCCCATTTCCCATATTCCAAACTAAATCAGCAGGATTCCTTTTGAATCTTAGTGACATAAAATGCTTGGTGAACTTAAGGACTTATTGGTAGGCTATTGATGCAGTACATTTATATTTTCACTTCTGTTGTACTTCATAGTTTAGGAAAGACTCCTGAGCGTATAGCACTGGAAGTGAGAATTCAATAACCAAACTGCAGAACTCTATGGGGCAAGCTCTGTTAAAATAGACAGCTTGCATGTTCACTTTTGATTGCAAATTGTGAATACTTCACTAAGCGGAAGCTTTAATTTTAAAGGTGGTGGTCAGGAGCTGGGAGTTGCTTAAAATAAGGCTAACATTACATGCAAATGAAAAAGTTTTCTTTGTGTATTTGTTGCTTTCCTTTTTAGTTAATTTTCAAAAATACTTCTTAGACTTCTGCAGTCCTCCTCTGTATTATCTATCTCTAACTCTCTCCAATTCTTTTTCGTTTTGTATTGTTTTTTCAGTTACTTTCAGATTGTCTCTATTTGCTAAGTGAAATTTGCAGTATTTGTCAATACTAGTTTCCTTTATGTAGTATGCAATAAAGCAGAAGAAAGAATGTCAGTATACTTCAATATGCTTAAAGCTGTGATTTTTTTCACTGTAGTAATATCATCACAGCACTGAATCAGAACATTAATTAGATTGTTCATGAACATTTTCTTCTAAAATATTTTGGGAACAGCCTTGGGGAAGGTTTTTCCAAGTTCTGGTTGAGAAAGGAAGCTCAAATTCTTTTCTTGTATTAGCATTAGCAACAGTAGTGTCTAAAAGTGCACAGGTGACACAATCTTAAGCTCAAGCTTGTATTTGGCATATTCATATTAATGTGAAGAGTGCTTAGGTAATGGAACATGCCTTATTCTTACAAATACATTTCTAAGTCAGCCTATAATGCCCATGCTTTTGATACCCTCACACAATACTCTAAACTTAATAGCTATTTTTATTACAGCTTTTTTCATTTGATACTTTTTTCAAAAAAAAGGTGAAATGTGTCAAAAATATCTCTACTTCAGTTTCTTTCACTAATAAATCAATCACCCGCAATAGAGATTAATGTATTCCTTGTGGTGCTGGCTATATCTGAATTACATACTTGAAGTGAAACAAATACAGTAAACAGAGTTTAGTTTTGTGATTTCTTTTTATATCATTTTATTTATGTCACACCTGCAGGTGCTGCTGTTTTTTCAAGCGGAGGAAAAGGAAAACCATTCAGCGCCACAAATGACTAGAACCAAGCAGAACATGGGAAATTGCTTATTTGTTCAACTGCTGTCTTGTGATCTTAAAAACAAACAAACAAACCCTCTGTAATGACCAAACGTTTTCCAAGGACTCCCTTAAAAACAAGGTCATTTATGTGTGCTTTGATTTGGTTCTCCTGCATCCATCTTTTGTTTCTTTAATTCATTTATTCTGAAAGCTTTAAGGTTTTGTCAAGTATGAGTGCTTCTTCGACCATCAACAAATGGACCAATAAAATGGTACAAATGAACAGTATCTTCAGCAAAACTAAACTTGAAAAGTATTTCTCCTGTCCTAGGAAGTACTAGCAGTGTCTTAGCTGAAGACAGATGTCATAAATCTGTTATTTGAGTTGGTAGCAGCTTATCAAAAGCAGTTTTCTTCAAAAATGCAGAAGAAAAATACAGTTGCACAACCATATAGAAAAATAATAAAATCTTAAACTTATTTTCTGACACCTGCATTTTTTTTTTTTCCTTTTCTCTTCTCCCAGTATTACTGGTGATACTGTAGTCAAATTGTATCAGCATTAAACCCTGTCTGTGATATTGTGATACAGTCACTGTCTAGAGATACTGAGGAGGCTGATTTAACTGTTGACAGTTGTCTAAATGCTGGCGATACTAATGAATAAAAGTATTTCCAGTAGCCTCTGGGTTTGAAAAGCTGCTTTTGTTATGCCTACGATGGAATGCAGTACAGTAGAAATGACAAGAGTGTTTGTACAAAAAAATACAGAAGTTTGTATAATTTAAGTTGTGCTTCCAGTAATGTTAGTAAGATTGAAATACCTTCAAAAGAGGATCTACAGAGGAATTATAAAAGAAGAAATAAATGTGAATCTGGTTAAAGTGGAATAAGTATTAAAGCCTATATGTTCAGTAAGGTAACTGATGATTGACAACATCTTTAACTTGAAAATATGGATGTGCCATGTAATGTTAGAGATCTGTTTGTAAATTATTTTATTCTTTAATTTAGAAAACAAATGGAGTGGAAGTGAGTTAGACTTCTCCCATCTCTGCCTACTATCCCATAACACCCAAAAATTCCTGAGATTTTTTTCCTGGAAATTTCTTGTCTTTCAGTGTAATGTCACTACTATAGTAGGATGGCAAGGATGTGTCACGTACTTCCCCACAGTCCAATGAAGTGTCTGCAATATGAAGAAACCAGCAGTTCTGTAGACAAGGAGGCCCATTTTGTATTTTCTTCTTCAGAAAATATATGCTTCTTTTAAAGCCATAATGACAGAGGTATGCTTTTTGTTGTTTAGCTGCCAGTTACTGAAGAAGGGGTGTGAAAGATTGACTAGACAGAGTTGTTGACCAAAACTCAGATTATCTCCTTTTTTTTATAATTCTTCTAGAGCTAATTAGCATTTTTTTACTATCCACACATGCCTTTTGGCATACTTATTTATTTTTAATGTTTTGTGGTAGCATTTAAAATGTGTATTAAAATAAATGCACACCTTTGAATTCATTATTGCATTTACAAGAATTTTAATTGTATTTTGTAATTTATTTTTCCTGAACAGCCAAAAGTGTATTTTATTGTTTAGATTATGTGCTTGTATGTATACTTTGATCTTTGTCATTATTACTGTTCATGATCTTAAGTTTTTGTTTTAAAAAAACTGAACTTGGCCTACAAAAACATACTGTATAACAGGTCGTAAGTTTCCACTCCACCAGTTTGTGTTACTGATTATCTCAAACTCATGAAGTTACTTCTTTGTTTTCATTTGAGCTGAAAGGTAGGCGGTTACTTGACTATTCTCATATGAAAACACATCCTTCTTTGTAGTACTTGACCAAATCTGTGGCTTCGTAAGATTTGTAAGTACATGTGGTATGTGTATTTCTTACACACCTGATGAGTTTTATTCTTGGAGGTTTTTGACCTGTACAGTGTTTGTATGATCTGAACTCCATACACATGACAAGAAAGTGTGTATATTATGGACTTAAAATATTTGAATATATAAAAGCTGCTTATTTGCTGAAATGACCTGTATCTAGGCATTTGCTTTTCAGCAATATTTTTTTAAGTGCTTGATTTTGTTGCTGAAGGAGGTTTTCTTCTAGCAAAGCAAAGCAGTCAGTACTAATGCAGGTATGTTCAGATTATGCCAATATAATCTGCATTATATCCTTTTTTTTCCTGTCTAAACTAATGAAGTCAATGTTGGCTGGATGTCTAAAAATTAAATACATCCATGTTTAAATGTAAGACAAAAAAATAAAGATAGTTTTTTAAAACTTGCCTTTTTCCCCCTTTCCTACAATCTTGGATGAAATAATGGAAGCTGTTATATTAAGAATTGCTGAACAGTTTTAATCTTTTTGGACGGTAAGGAATTTGAAAGCATGTTACTTGAAACACTACCTCAACATTGCAGTTATAGTTATGTTTGCTTAGTTAACAGGTGTTATTGTTATATACCTTAATACACCTACTGATAACAATAGAATGAAGAGACTTCAATGTACACGTTTGTAACTAGGAAATCTACTCAGTGTCTCCATGGATTAAAGTCTGTGCTGTCTGTGCCACCTAGAATACAAGCCATTACAGATACTGTGACGTATGCAATAAATGTGTCTTTAATTTTGCCAGGTAGGTATCTAGAAAAGGAAGACTTATAGTTAGTTCTTCAGTCACAACCTTTTATTCGGTACAGATGATTGTTCCTAGTTGTAGAGCATTTGATATGGTAGAAAAAAGGGCATATTTACTTGAGAACAATGTTAATAGGCAAAATTGGTTGCTAGACTTCTACTTAAGATTCCTAGCACTTTGCTTCATAAGCAGGTGTTTTCATCTGCTTCTGCTCTTACAGATCTACAGAGCTATTGCAAGTAAAAATTTTTTTCAAGTTCATGTGTTCTTTTTATTCAAACTAAAGTTTTCTTCAGAACTTGTTTTTGAGACTTGGAATTTTAACACCTGAGTGCTTAAAAATACATCCCCATGTATTTTTCAGTAACTAAAGTTTCTTCAGAACTTGTTTTTGAGACTTGGAATTTTAACACCTGAGTGCTTAAAAATACATCCCCATGTATTTTTCAGTAGCTTTTTAGGAGCTTTTAGTAGCTTTTTTGGAGGATTTTTCAAACACGAAGATTGCAGAATTGGTTATGTCAGAATTAAGCCACTGTACAGCTTGATTGTCTTTTCAAATTAAATACATATTTTCTGAGAATATTTTCCTCTTTAAGCTTTCAGGATAAGTGATAGTAACTGAGGTAATATCATTTTAAGGATGTATTCAGTTCTCAGATGCTCAATTTTTAATTTTCTTGTAGGACAGGCTGTTCCATATCTTATTACCACATCTGTTTGAACCTTACTGAAAATACAGCTTTACTGAATATTTGTGGGGCTTCCTGTGGTGACACATACTATAATATGGGGTATTTAAGATACTTGTTTATGTCTTCACACAACTTGCCTCTGAAATACAATCCTGTTGTCATTAAAGGCTACTGAATCTAAAAGTAGTTTAAAAAAACCCAAAACAAAACCAACCCTCCAGCTTCATTGACTAGTTTGAGATGCAAGTTATTTTTCAGATGACTATTTTCTTGTGTACCGAAGAGCACTTGAATGTTTAGCTAGCCCTGAGTGTTTAGCTAACCTTTAGGTTTTGAAATGGACAACCAAAAATATGGAACACCAAGAAACTGGTCTGTAAAGTTTTGAGTGGTTAGGCTACTGTCATGTTTGTGGCAGAGACTAGTATTTTCAATTTTTAGAAAGGTGTTTTGTACACTGCAGATCTCTACCTCAGTGCTCTGAGCTTTTCTATTGCCTGGAACAAGGAAGTCACTGATACATGGCCTTTAGTGATAATCAAATACTCAGAATTTCATGAAGACTTAAAGCACTTGATGGACAGAGCAAATGACAAGGAAGCAAGGATCCAGTGAGTAGTGATCATTGTACCTGACCGTTTTTTATGTTGATCTCTAAACTACCTTTTGCTTCCTTCTGAAAAAGCTTGAGAATTTAAGAGTTGATTGAGGATTTGTAAATCCTGGACTGTGCTCTAACTACTTTTTATTCCAGGCTTTGGAAAATCACCTTAAGTTCATGGTATTGAACTGAAAGTATAGTGCTGAAAATATAGGTTTATGTCTTTTTATTAGTGAATAGAGTGCTGAACCCTCTAGATCCTTCAAGAGTGTTCAAGAACATTGAATATAAGTGCTGTAATGGATGGCTATACACCCTTCCAAAGGGATAGGCAAGAAAGGAGAGGCGGTGGGGTAGCCCTGCATGGTAGGGAGTGTTTTGACTGTCTAGAGCTTGACGATGGTGATGATAGGCTTGAGTGCTTATGGGTAAGAATTGGGGGAAAGGCCAACAAGGCAGATATCATGGTGGGAGTCTGTTATAGACCACCCAAGTAGGATGGGGAGGCAGATGAAATATTCTATAAGCAGCTGGGAGAAGTCTCACGATTGCTAGCCCTTGTTCTCATGGGGGACTTCAACTTGCCAGATGTCCGCTGGAAATACAATACAGCGGAGAAGAAAACAGTCTGGGAGGTTCCTGGGGTGTGTGGAAGACAACTTCCTGACACAGCTGGTGAGTGAGCCAACAAGGGAGGGTGCTCTGCTGGACCTGTTGTTTGTGAACAGAGAAGGACTTGTGCATGATGTGATGGTTGGAGGCTGTCTCAGATGGTGTTTGTGCAATGGGGACAAGGGAGAGCACAGTCTGGGAGGTTCCTGGGGTGTGTGGAAGACAACTTCCTGACACAGCTGGTGAGTGAGCCAACAAGGGAGGGTGCTCTGCTGGACCTGTTGTTTGTGAACAGAGAAGGACTTGTGCATGATGTGATGGTTGGAGGCTGTCTCAGATGGTGTTTGTGCAATGGGGACAAGGGAGAGCCCCAACGAAAACGAGCCTGACCCCATCTTTGCAGGTCAGTGCAAGGTGGCAGTTGCAAAGGAGCTGGCCTGCCTTCTCAGGCTGGCTTTTCTTCCCAAGAGCCAAGGTCTCAGCTGGGTCCACAGCATGAAGCTTCAATGCAGTGGAATGTGCTGTGGTCGGTTGCTTGAAGTGTTGCACTGAAGTGTAGCAGCCCTGCATGTGCCAGAGGCGCTGGCTGCCCTCTCCTGCAGAGGCCATGGCCATCACTGGGGAAGCTGACTCTGCAGAGGTACGAGGCAGGGCAGGGTTACTAGCGATAAGCTCTGGGACAGCATGACGAGGTTTGAGTGATGGTGTGCTAGTGCGGACTTTCACTCTGCTCCACAGTGTACCAGATACAGTGGAGCACATTTCAAGTGTTTGTACACTAATGCCCGCAATATGAGGAATAAACAAGGGGAACTGGAAGCTTTGGCTCAGTCCCAGAGCTACGACAACGTTGGCCTAAGTGGGACTTGGTGGGAAGAGTCCTGTGGCTGGAGTGCTGTGATGGATGGTTATAGGCTCTTCAGG